AGGATAGCTTGAATGTAGCTTAACTACTTTAATTTACGAGTAGCCAAGAGTGTTTATGCTTTTCAGGAAATTTCCCAAAGGGCTGCATTAGACTCTAGACATTATAGAAACATAAAGACATTTTTTGAGTCAATTTAGAAAATAGTCGGATTCAAGTGTTTACATGCTTGATTTTTCCCGTTGATCTGATTATTTCAGGTCAACACCACCTCTTTCAACCTATTTGAAATATCACTTGGTTCAATTGAGGTGTTTACTTGAAGGCTTTTCAGTCCGATCGAGCCAGCAGTCTGATTATAAACTGATTCCTCTAAGTGTAGCTGTTGTTAAGTCTGATTGAGGCATTGATTACTATCCTTGTGATTGCTGACCTTGAATCACCAAAGAAGAGTGTGTGTTTGTGCATGTTTTTGACGAATTGGCTTTGTCTCAGTGGCTCTGTTTACACCTGATCTTAAGAATGATCCCATAAGAAAAGATAAGTGAACAATATACTTGGTGCATCATCTCAAAATTGGATGTGGTCACGAGTTTACCTCTGGATGTGGTTTCAATGATCTGGTCACAAAACCCTGTTTCCACCTGTATTTATTGCTGACCACTTGTAATCAGATCACACGCACAAAAAAAAAGCAGGGGGAAACAGACCCTATGTGTTTGTTTGGGCGCCTGTGTGTGTGTGTGTGTGTTTGTGCATGTGTGTTCATGTCTTCGAACTTCTGAAGCAGTCCTCTGTGTTCTGTCATCTTTGCAAAGAAGTGGCATTCCTCCCGCCCACCTTTTTATGTGTTTGTGTGCGTCCTGAGCCATCTGCCTTCTCCTTCTGGATCACGCTCCTTTCTCTTCCATTCCACCCCCTGCTTTTCTCTGCCATCACACCGGTATCAGTGTCATATGACAGTGGCAGTGAGGAGACCCAAGCTAGGAGCCGTGACTCATTCACAACAACAGAAACACATCAACACAACCTGGAGAGCTGCCATTAGACTGCCACTGAGACCCACATAACAGCACAAACAGCACGCCATGGACAGGACATGGACAAACACTTTATAGTCCCTGCTTGCCAGTTAATATAGTCTTGTGCCTTTTCCTGTTTATTAATATGAACAATGTTTTTTACAGGCCCAAAGTTGTAGTTTTTTTTTTTTTATCAAAATGATTTATTATTGGTGATTTCTAAGGTACATTTTTAATAGGGTTAAGGATTTTAGCATAAAGTGTTAGAAAAATGAAAACGGCTAAAACTTAATAATTGAAAACAGTGAATTAGTAAAGACATGATGTGATATTTCACACGCCCATCTGTCCTTGAAAGTGGTATGCAGTGGTGAACAGTTTTAGCTTGATGTCCAAAGTGTGCAAAGTTAGTTTAGAAGTCTATATTTTAGTTTTTTCTACTTTAGTTTTCTATACTATATTTTTTCTTTTTTGTTTTAAACTTCGACCTGTAATTCATCCCACTCTGTTTGATTGCTCGGATTGTCAAAGAGTGTTTGCATCAATAATATACAGCAAACATTATAAATGATAAATATCAATTAATATATATGCTTGGTGGACTCTTTTCACTTGAACCTGAAAGCAATTATCCGGAGCAACATTGTAACCTGCATAGCAACACATTTAACATGAAAATGTATATATGAAAATATATTTAAATATATTTCATCGTCATGATTGGCAATGATAGTTATTTTTGTAATCAAGCTAAATCCAAAGGGCCATAATTTTCAATTATTCCATAATTGCTAACAAATAGAAAGGCTGAAGTGTCTGAACAGTTCTACAGTAAATGTTCTGCAGCTAAAATCTGCAGCTTATTATTTGCTAGAAAGCTTTTCCCTGCTGTGAACTTTGAATAGTTCCATTTAGACCCTTCAAATGGTCTGTACTTTCCAGAGTAATGGATTACAAGCACTCAAGACAGCTTTGAAAGTTAGCAAGCCCAAACCAATGCAAGTGCGCGTGTTTGAGACAGATATAAACAGCGCACCATAAATCTGACTCCCTGTGGAGAAGTTCTTCCATAAATTCTGAAGCCGATCAGAGAAAAGTCATTCAGTGATGGGGAAATCAATTTCATTTAAAACTCTCATCTCTAGCTGACGGCCAGTAAGAAAGAGTCTGGGTTTAAAGAAGTCCGTGGAAAATGACGAGAAATATTCTATTACAGCGGAAGGCTGTAATAGTCACTGCCTCCTGAGCTAGAGTTGGTTGTTGTAGCTGTATCCCAGCAGGTTTCTTCTTTTTGGTCACCAGGTGCCAGATTCACAAAACATCCTTAAGAATGAAATTCTTCCTAACTGCTTAAGAATAAAGTTAAGAATATTTTGCATTTTCTATTAATGTTCCTTGCTTGTTTCTTAAGATTCATCTACACTCAAGACAAAACTTTGGATTTTTGGAATTTGGATTTTTTTAAGAATTGCATTTAGGAACGGTCTTCCTAACATCTTATAAATTGTTTTAACGTAATGGTTCACCCAAAAATGAAAATTTCCTGAAGATTTACTCACCCTCAGGACATCTAAGATGTAGACGAGTTTGTTTCTTCATTGGAAAAGATTTGGAGAAATGTAGCATTCCATCACTTGCTCACCACAATGGACCCTCTGCAGTGAATGGGTGCCGTCAGAATGAGAGTCCAAACTAATCCACAAGCAGTCCACACATCTCATGTCAAGTGAAAAGCTGCATGCTCATTAGAAACAAGTCCATCATTAGGGCATTATAACTATAAACCATTGCTTCTGGCCATAATCACAGATTTTTCCTTGAACTTTGATGTTTGGGTCATTCAGCTGCCCTCACACCAACACGGTTTCAGTGTTTCACCATCTGTAATCCTCTCCCCTATTATACCCAGCAGGCCGGTGTATTTTCCAATCACGTACTGGCACACTGGAGGGCCGTGTAGGGCTGCGGTGCCGGAAGGTTGACATTAATAATGTGATTGTGCTTTGCCCTCTCTTATCCAGAGGTGGCAGAGGGCAGGCCTCCTCCTGCTGCTGAGAGAGAGAGGCAATCAGCATTTAATCTGCAAGACTGATTAACTTCTCATTACAATCAGACACACACACACCATGCAGGCACTCAGACACACAAACTCATGTACAAACGCACAGCAACACACACTACTCTCACACTCCAGAGGTGGATCTGTAATTATGCCACAGAGATCAAGTCAGGCCTACTTACACAACTCTAGCAATCAGTTTTATTTATGCATTTATTTTCAAACTATTTGTAAGGAACCTGGCAATTACAGGAAAAGAAGAGGTCTTTGCTGAATCACCTGGGTCTGTCTTTGCTCAAGTGTCATTTCAATCGGACACATTTTGATTGAGAATAGAGCAGAGCGTTAAACAGAAGTCTTACTGTTAAATCTACTGTTTAGCAATTTTATTTTAGTATTTGTAAAGTGTGATTCTAGCGATATATTTTCAAGTTCTTTTTTATTGATATTTTATCCAAGTTAAGCCAATACAAATATATTTATTGTCATTTTATATATTTTAACAATATTTATTTTAACCATAAAGATCTGTATGCCTCTAAAGTTGTACATTTATTAATGATATTGTACATTTCACTGTCTATACAAGTGATCAGAAATATGTACACTTCACATAAAATACCTATGAAAACAAAAGAGATCTCCGTGAAAATGTACTTTTTAGTAAGTACTATGCTATATAGCTAACACAAACCGAATTATTCAGTTTTTTATGTCAACCAATTATAAAAATGTTCAGCCTGGCTGGGTGCAATCAGCGAATTATAAGACAGCATGAAAAATATATTTTGCAATGACTTTAGTGTGAAATTTTCAGTTTTAATATCAGATCGTTTTACTCTGCTCCATGGACAGAAAGACGAGCACATACGAGTCTTGAGTTTCCAAACCATGCTCCTTACAACCTTGGGATACGCACAAATAATTTCAGAAATGTCAGTTCAACTGAGGCGTGTAAATAAAGGCTTCTCTGTTGACACCTCATTTGAATGCTGAGCAGATGACCTCTGCATTTATGAAGGTCTAGAAGAGAAACATGAAAATGCTCAATGTCTCTCAGCAGAGGACCAAACCCAACCTGCTTCCTCAAAACATGAGTGCATTTATCCATCTTTTTCTTGCCATAAACTCTATGGGTCTAGCTTCCGGTCTCATCTGCGTCCAGCTATTTTTAGCTGTACAAAACAGTTCGTTTTGCTGCTTGATATTGAAAATTGGTGTGTCTTACCATATTGTTTTAATGTATTATCTTAATTATGAACACACTGGTTTGTAGTGCAAACAGTTTTACAGTTTACTGCACATTGTTATTCTTGTTGTTATTTACCTATAGCGGTTAATGATCCGGAAGTCTCACCCATAGGCTTACTTCTGCTTTTTGTTTAATGCCTTCAGAACAATGTATCATTATTTAAGATCATTGCATAACTGCCCAAACTTTACAAAAGGGAAACACAAAAAAAGCCATATGTGACTTGGACCACAAAACCAGTCATACGGTTTCATTTTTAGAAATTGAGATTTATGCATCATCTGAAAGCTGAATAAATAAACCTTCCATTGGTGTGTGGCTTGTTAGGATAGGACAATATTTGGCCGAGATACAACTATTTGAAAATCTGGAATCTGAGGGTGCAAAAAAAAAAAAAATCAATATATTGAGAAAATCGCCTTTAAAGTTGTCCAAATGAAGTTCTTAGCTATGCATATTGCTAATCAAAAAATACGTTTTGATATATTTACGGTACTTTCAAGTTTTGATATATTTACAGTAGGAAATTTACAACATATATTCATGGAACATGATCTTTACTTAATATCCTAATGATTTTTGACCCATACAATGTATTTTTGGCTATTGCTTCAAATATACCCGTGCTACTTATGATTGGTTTTGTGCTTCAGGGTCACATTTTATTTAACAACCTGTTGACTGTAAAATATTTGATGCTAAAGAATTTTTGTTATTCTGTTCTTCCAGATTGGAGACAGTAGTTAGCCTAGCACCTAAAGACGATGAGGAGAAAGCGAAAACGAAAGAAGCAGTTGCAAAAACCCACGAGAAAAATGGACACGTGAAACGCAGAGGACGTAAACGCCACAGCCACCGTCGAGCTCGCAGGTCTGTATCTTCTAAAGCTGTGCCTCATACACACATCTTCATCAAAGATGTTTCGGTGCTTAGGAGTAAACACTTCAATGTAAACTATGCATTTGCTCTTCTTGAAAAGAAACTATTTGTAGAGTCTCTGAAGGTAAAATAGCTGTTTTCCACCGCTTTTGAAAACAGCATGTGCTGTTGAAAATGTACAATTCAACCACAGAACCTTAGTATAGATAAATCTATTCAAATGTGAATTTTTATTTTTATTTTTGACCCCAGAGAAGATCAAAGACATGAAAATATGCAGCACCGAATCCACTTCTAAGCCACATCCACACTCTATAAGCATGAATTAGAAACCCCAAACTTTAAAGCGAGGCAGGCACAAACACTCTTATCTCCTCGCCACAGTGTAAACATTCAGGTGTTGCTGGAATTTTGAACACGGGTGTCTTTTATGGGTTCCTCTTACTTCCCATCCGCCAAAATTCTAACTCCGCCTGGTGAATGAAATTGATTCAACATTGGATTCTTAACGCCGTAATTCCACTGATACCTTCAAAGTGTTGGTGATAACGCAGGGCACACGCAATGCATCAGTATGTAAAACAGGGAGGACGCCAGCTCAAGTGTTATCTTAAACATGCTAATCTCTGAGTTCATGCTCTGTTTTCTGGCAGAGAACGGCAGATGCAAAGGCATTTTTTTTTTTTATTGAGATTTTATAATCAAGCATACAACAGCAGCTAAACAATGCAAGATCAAAGAACGATTAAGTCAGATCAAGCTAAAGCGCCGAAATCCCCAAACAGCTTTCTTTCCTTCATCACAACAACTGAAGAATCCTGAATCGTAAGCACATACAGTTGTTTTCTTATCCAAATAAAAGAAACATCTCAAATGTGGAAAGTCTTATTGTACAGTGTCAATTTCAGTGTCAGTAAAGTGACATTTAAATAGAAGCCCTCTGTCCTTCTGGGAAGACCCTTCTGTTTAAAGTATTTTATTAGTCCTGACAAGTGCTTTCGCATTGCAGGTTTGACATCCTTTGGAGTGTGTCAGTAGTCAAAAGCTCTCTGTGCCGTCTTATGCTTGCACGATTTTCCTTTCATAACTTTGGCAACAAGCTTAAGCCTCTGCATTTTGGTTTTGAGAATCATGATGCAGTTTTTTTTTCCCAAAGCAGAAAGGTACGTACAGCAATGCAAGCAATGTAAACAGCGCTGAAGCCCTCAGTGAAATGTCAGTTATCAATGTTGACAGCCTTTTAACTCTCTAACCTTGTCTATTCTCCAGAGTGTGTCAGTGTTCAGTCTAACTCACAAGATGACCCTCTCCGTGCTGTTCCTTCTGACAGCTGAAGTGATGGTGGCCATTAGGGGTGTGTTCGTTACCTGTGCGCATTCAAGGTCGACTGAAACTGACGGAAAGACTTTAAAAGCTGGAGAGCAAACCAACAAGCTGAATAAAAAGCATAACATTAAAAGCATTAGTCAATGGATCAAACAGTGTCGCAGAAAAGTTTCTGTGGTTGATTTCAGAGCTGATTGGAACTAGGGCTATCATGATATCAGGTTTTCACTACAAGATTATCATGGCCAAAAGAATTTACGATAATGATATTAGCCCAATATCTACAGAAATATGGGGGAAAATAGAAGAATGGTCAAATTGATCTTTAACTCAGTTTTGTGTTTTCTCTTTTTTGACCAATAAATCAGTCACACAGTGACAAACTTACTTTTTTCAGTTGTGGGTAGAGTGTCTTGCTTCCGTCTGTCATGATTTTGTGCAGTAGTAGTAACACCACACTGCCTTGTCTTGTTTTTTTGACAGGCAACAACCTGCTTTAAAGTGCAATTCCGCCACCTTCTATGCTGGAGTGTCAACCGAATAGTTATTGGTGCTGGATTATTAACACTATTATAATATGCGTAGTGTTTACATAATATCAATGTTTCATTTTTTTTTAAATATATCATTGTATTGATAGGCTATTATCAATACTGGACTATTGAGACCCCCTAATTGTAACTGATCTAAAATGCACCGTAAGCTGACAATGGTTCTTAAAAAAGATAATTTTTGTCATAACTGGTAAATTTTTTAGGATAGTTTATTTAAAGCTACAGTCTGTAAGTTTTGCCTCTTTGTCGCCATCTCTGTTTGAAAACTTGCAATTGTTTGCAGAATTATCTTCCTTGCTTGTATTGTGCGCCGGTGTTGTGCCCATTTTCAACCACCTGCCAAATTATTACCCCTCTGGTTGAAATCTGATTGCCTAATCCTAACCCCACACCTAACCCTATACCCAGTGTTGGGGAAAGTTACTTTTAAAAGTAATGCATTACAATATTTATAATTACGGTACTTAGTTACTTTTTATGGAAAGTAATGTGTTACGTTACTTTTGCGTTACTTTTTAAATCTGGGCAGGGCTTGCTTGTTTGTTTTTAAAATAAAAAAAATTCTATTTTTGGCAAATATAAAAGCCTTTTCACACCAGACGTGAAATGAATAAGCCTCAGGCTGAAGGGAAAGTAAATTTACGTCCGTACAGTAGAATGCAGAAGAAGACATTTCAACACACTTCAGCAATAAACAAAGACACAAATGTTTGTCTAGAGTAATTTGTGTTTATTAGTACGGCTGAACTGGATCATCGAAGGTCAGAAGCAAAGACATTGGTTAATAGAATGGGATTAAATACATAAAGCATATTTGTGTTGTTTAACATTTAATTATTGCAGCTTTGCGTCATATTCTGAGTTGCATTATTTTTATTCATTTTGAGGAATACTGAATCTGAGTGAGATGAATTAATTCATATTCATATTTATTTCAGAACTACAGTAACATCTTCTGATTTCTCTCAGCATGGGGACAGGAGAGCTGTCAGTCAATAAATTGGAAAAAAAGTAACTTGCGTTACTTATTTGAAAAAGTAACTCAGATATTCTCTTGTAAATTAAAAAGTAATGCGTTACTTTACTAGTTACTTGAAAAAAAGTAATCTGATTACGTAATTTGTAATATATTATCCCCAACACTGCCTATACCTAGCAATACTAGGGGGGGGGGGGGAATAATCTGGCGGGGGTCAGAATTTGGCACAACACCGGCTAGGCTTCCAGTGCGGATGAATCTAATGTTTTGAGGAGTATATGTGTGTGGCTGTCAGTCACCGCACCGGTGTGGATATTTAATGTACTTCGCATACATTTTCTAGCCTACGTCTTGAAAATGTATGACCCAAATAAGAATTTCCACTGGATATTGTCATCTGAACAAGTAACAAGTCTGCCGTGTTTGTTCTGACCAACTGAGGAAAAAAGCATTACAATAAATTATAATTAAGCAGAAATGGCACTTGCTTTTATGCTAATCAGCTTCTAATGCGTTTCAGACTTGCTAATGCAGCAATGGCTGGATGAACTATTCCTATATCAGACCAAATAGCCTTTTCCAACCTTGGAGAGCGACTGAGCAGCCCGCTCCCCCGCGAGCACATCCTCGCAACCAGCCTGGCTCTCCGTCTGTGTTTTGATCCATCTAAATGGTTTCCTCTCAGTGCTCATATTGAATCACTGACTGGCTGGGCAAAGCCAAAGCTACAACAGTCGGTAATTCATCGACTGACACGGACAGCACTCCCCTGTGTCTATGAAATATTATTATCCTGCTGTAGCGATGTGCCGCAAGAAGGAAATCTCATTGCCGCTTCCACCATTCCTTTAACCTGGACCAGTCATGTGTATTTGTCATGGATATCCTGTATACCTTCTTCCATGCTTTATATTTCCATTGCTGCCTGTCAGATGCATGTCATTCTGACAGTCTGTGATGTTATGCTATGTGAAAGAGCTATTTAGTGTACACATACCTCCACAGAGGAAAAAGCATTACATTTTCAATGTTCTATCCCTCCTACCTCTACTCTGCTAACTCTTACGAGACAAGCTCTTTCGGTCACAGAGCATTTAAAGCTTAATATAGCGAGCTAAAATTAGTCTCTTTGATATAAATAGGGTCAGTATCAGAAAATCTGCCTTTGAAAAATATTATAGAGGTCAGCTATTCCGTTCCATGGGCCTCGATCGGGCATCCTCGGGGGTCTTCTCGGCGAGAAAAACACCACTCAATGAACAGGTTCCACTTCAAAGCGTAGGCGTGTCTCGTAGACGGTGCTCTCGCTGAAGTGATGTTGTCAACTACCTCTTGGGGTAGGCCACTCAGAACCTCCACGTCCCATCCAGGGACCGGACGTGACGTTTCCAGAGATCTGGACGCGGGTGCCAAAGGGTGCCCCGTCTCTGAGTCAGTAAATCCTTCCTCAGAGGAATCGCCCAAGGACGGGCTGTCGCGAGGAGCATTAGTTCCGGGAACCAGGTCCAGGAAGGCCAATAGGGTGCCACCAGCAGGACCTGCTCCTCGTCCTCCCTGACCTTGCACAGCAACTGTGCCAGAAGGCTCACTGGGGGAAATGCATACCTGTGAAGGCCCCGCGGCCAGCTGTGTGCCAGTGCGTCCGTGCCTAACCCTAACCCTGGCAGTGAGAGGTTTCTGGAGAGGCAAACAGGTCTACCTGAGCGGCACCTTGTCGGTTGATGTACGCAACGGTCGCAGTGTTGTGCGTACGGACTAGTACGTGCTTGCCTCATAAACGCTCTTTGAGACGGAACAAGGCAAGGCACACTGCCAGCAACTCGAGCCAATTGATGTGCCAGTGCAGTTGGGGGCCCGTCCAAACCCCTGACACTGCAACCCTGTCGTACGTGGCCCCCCAGCCGGTGGTTGAGGCATCCATGTGAACTACAGCATGCCTGGAGACCTGTTCTAGGGGCACTCCTGCCCGGAGAAATGCCAGGTCTGACCACAGGGTGAAGGTTTGGCGGCAGGCCGGTGTCGTATAGGCATTGCTGGCCAGTCGAGTACCTACAGACCCGGGAGGGGAGGCACGGTTCTCCCTGCCGGTTGGAGGCGGTATTAGGACACAACTGCATCGCAACCGACCACTTCAACGGGGGGACCGTTGTAACCCCCTAGCTGCCCCACCATCGAGGGTGGTGAGGGAGGAGGATCCAGCAAATCAGGTTCCGGCAGTAAAAAGGTGCCATCCACGACCTGTTGAGCTCTTCATGCACCTCCGGGAAGAAAGGCACCGAGGCGGGGCACTGAGAACCAGCGCGGACCACCCCGAGAACCAATCGTGCAACCTTCAGGTGCTGTAGATTGGTCCCTCTAAGCGAGATCCCAATTTCGTTGGTCATCCGACGTGACGTCGAGAGTGACCGACTGAAAGGGAAGAGTACTATTGTTAAATATTCTTATTTCTATTTGAATGCATTTTAAAATGTTATTTATATTCCTATGGTGGCAAAGCTGCAATTTTGGCAGCCTTTATTCCAGTCTTTATCCACATGATCCTTCAGAAATCATTCTATGTTGATTTGCTCAATACATATTTTTTATAAATGTTGAAGACAGTTGTACTGCTTAATATTTTTGCGTAAAAGTTGTGTACATTTGAAAATAATTAATTTGAAACAAAAGGAATTTTAAATAAATAAATAAACACACATCTTTTGAACTACGTGACGTCGAGAGTGACCGACTGAAAGGGAAGAGTACTATTGTTAAATATTCTTATTTCTATTTGAATGCATTTTAAAATGTTATTTATATTCCTATGGTGGCAAAGCTGCAATTTTGGCAGCCTTTATTCCAGTCTTTATCCACATGATCCTTCAGAAATCATTCTATGTTGATTTGCTCAATACATATTTTTTATAAATGTTGAAGACAGTTGTACTGCTTAATATTTTTGCGTAAAAGTTGTGTACATTTGAAAATAATTAATTTGAAACAAAAGGAATTTTAAATAAATAAATAAACTCACACATCTTTTGAACAATATTCTAAATTATTTGAAAGTATATTCAATTATATAAAAGCCTTTGGAACACATTCCAAGATTTTCATATATGGGCTAAATATTCCCTTAAGTGTTACTATAAAAAACAGAATGCTGGATGTGTTTTCGCTACATGTGACCATATTTGATCTTCCAGATCTCCCTCCTGCAGTCCATCACCTGTGAGGAAGAAGAAGAAAAAGAAGAGCTCAAAGAAAAGGAAGCGACATAGGTAGTGATTGATTTTCCACATCAGATCATGTTTAGAGGTTTGCTTTGAGTACACTTTGCTGGTGTGGTGTGGTGTGGTGTTTGGTTTTTTTTTTTCTTGGTCATGACTGCCTTTAAAGTCCGTTCTTCTCTGCCTCCAGGTCTGCCTCAAGGAAGGGACGACACAGGTACATTTTAGATTTATTTAATGTTTGTTTTTAGTGCTCTTTCCTAGAATAAAGGGCACAGTGCTTTTCACAAAGTACAGATAATACCTGATGATTATTGTGAAGTGCTCTTAAGTAGTTTATGGCTCCCCAGAGGAAGATTTAATTGCTCAGAGTTCCTCTTTCATAGCTCGGGAGATTGATGTTATATATCATTTAAGTATCCTAAAATTCTTTAAGAGATAAAAAGGTACAATTATTGACATACTGTAAGAATATAGGGATCTGTACATACAGAATCCATTTAATCGTATTGTTTTCTAGCAGAAACAGCAGAGAGATCTCATCTGTTCATTTTCTATCCTGTGGGACCTTTAATTTAAACCTAATCAATAGATTCTCCTATTTTACAGTGGCTCGAGTCCCAGACGTAAAAGAAAGGTGGACAAAAAGCATAAAAAGAGGTTGGTGATTTTAAAATTAATAATTTCAAATCCATTAGCTCACACTTCAGTTGAAAGTATTCAAGCACTGACAGTTTATTGAGTTATATTCAAGCTCCTCTGTGGTTTATCATTTAGTGTCAAAAGCTTAATGCATTCCGCAGTATACGGCACCTGCATGACCTCTCATGCACGAGAGTCACATACTCTAGATTAGATTACGGTGTATTGACAGCCGCACTGTAGTGCACCTCAGCTCCTCTCAGAGAGTGCTGTTATTGGCTGCTTTTGTCGTGTGGTCTCTCAAACTGAAGGAGGCCAGTGCAGCCAGAGAGACAGAAACATGAACCAATTTCATGGCGCTAGTCTGCTGCACACAGAGCCAGAGAAGAAGTGCCTCTCTGGGCTTCTGATCCTCGAAACGTTCAGGTTTTGTGAGTGTGTTAAATCAGTGGATCTCAAGGGGTTTTGCTTCACGACCCAGGACTCTAAATTCTTTGTCCTTTGCAACTGAATTGCACATGTACTGAAACTGTTTATGTAGGCTTGAATTAATTTCTGCTAAATTCTTTGTCCTTTGCAACTGAATTGCACATGTACTGAAACTGTTTATGTAGGCTTGAATTCATTTCTGTATTTTTTTTATTTATATGACATTTTATGATATGCTGATGCTGAGGATGATTTAGGAAATAGTCATGACATGAGAATCTTTTCTGCACAAATGGATTTATTCCATCTGATATTGTTATTTCTGAAGTGGTAAATGATATGTTGGTAAGGTGCTCAAGAAACATTAGTTTAGTGCCTCTCTGGGCTTCTGATCCTCGAAACGTTCAGGTTTTGTGAATGTGTTAAATCAGTGGATCTCAAGTGGTTTTGCTTCACGACCCAGGACTCTAAATTCTTTGTCCTTTGCAACTGAATTGCACATGTACTGAAACTGTTTATGTAGGCTTGAATTCATTTCTGTATTTTTTTTATTTATATGACATTTTATGATATGCTGATGCTGAGGATGATTTAGGAAATAGTCATGACATGAGAATCTTTTCTGCACAAATGGATTTATTCCATCTGATATTGTTATTTCTGAAGTGGTAAATGATATGTTGGTAAGGTGCTCAAGAAACATTAGTTTTTTGTTTTTTATCAGTGTTGCTTAATATTTTTTTGGAAATATAGGTTTTTCAGGATTCTTTGTCAAAAGAGCAGAAATGGAGCTACTGTCACTTTTGATGAATTGAATGCATATTTGCGGAAGGTCTTTAAAAAAAAATCTTACTGCCCCCAAACTTTGAACGATTGTGTACATTATTCCACAAAAGTGTTTTATTTAATCTTGTAAATATTCATATTCCACCCCAGAAATGACTTTGCCTTTCATGGAACAGGAAAAATGTATGTTAATTAATGTTTTTCTCATAAAATATTCACATACACTAAGAAATCAGGGTATGCCAAAATTCAAAATCTCTGGTAGCGCTTCGGCCAGGCAGATTTTGGTAGCTGGAAATTATTTTAACTAGCCTAAAAAAAAAAATATAT